AACTGGAACCGAAGCATGAAAGGGCCCCGATTAAAGTCTTTCTGCCGCAGTCTGTGTCAGTGTGTCTGTCCCCCCAGGCTGTCACATTGCTGGCCCCTCAGAGAACATCTGGTCCTGCCCCATCCAGGTCAGAAAGGGAGCTGAGGCTCAGAGGTAGCTGGGGGCAGGCCACACTCGGTGAGGGAGGCCCTGGTGTGAGAGGCCTAGACAGGGGTGGGGCTGAGGTAAGAGCAGGGGGGGTGGACGAAGAGGCTCAGCAGACCACCCCCCTCTGTGGTGCATGAGCAGGGAGGGGTTCTGGGGAGCGTTGTCTGGGTTCTCTCAGGTCTCTTGTTGGACCCCTGAAGTCCCCAATCTCCTCCCAGACCAGCCTCTGTGCTCACCTGTTACCTCTTGCCCGGTGAGGGGCTGCGCACACTTCCCCTTAAGTCTCTGACCCAATTCCACAGACGTTTCCAGCTGGGGAGCTCCCTGGCCTGGGGGTTCCTGCAGCCCCACCCCCATCTTGCCCACCTCTCACTGCAGAACCTTTCCAAGACCCTCAATGGTCTGCTCTCGACTCCCAGCGGTTGCCTGCAGTCCCTCGCCCGGGATCTCACATCACGGCACTGGAGGCCAGAGAAACCCTCGTTCTCTGGTTCTTCTAAAGGCCCAGCACTCGGGCCAGGCCCACTCAGGATACTCCTTCACTGATGGTCCCTTAGGGACTTCACGCCTGCAAACCCCCCCACTTCTGCCACATAATGTGATCTCGCCACAGCAGTGAGGGCCCGCCATGCTCACAGGCCCCGCTCAAACACAAGGGCAGGCATCCACCGGGCGTGGGGGGCTAAGGGGTGTCCTGGAACTCGACCCACCATAGGGGCTTCGCAGTCAAACTAGAATCTAGCCACACCCGTAACTGAGCTCCACCCGCCGGGACCAGGAGAAGCAAAAGCAAGCTTCGAGCACTAATACCAAAGAACGCTTTTATTTATTGGTAAGATAGGAAAATCCAGGGCTCTCAGACCCACACACTCTCCCAACTATTTGGCCAGACCCACTCCAAGTCTGTGAGGGCGGTAACGAGAAGGGTCTCCTGCTCAGAGAGGGGAACTGTGGGTTCAGGTCTCTGTCCTGCTTCCTCCAGCCAGGACTCTTCTAAAGAAGACCGAGAGGCCCGGTCCCTGGAAGGACCAGCCCCACTGTGCGGGACAGAAAGTTCTGTGGTGCAAGTTGAATTTGCACGTCTGTCAGACACCACAAACATCCCCTCGTCACAACTGATCCGTGGAAACACGAGTTTAAAGTCTCCAAAACAGAAAGTTCTGTGGTGCAAGTTGAATTTGCACGTCTGTCAGACACCACAAACATCCCCTCGTCACAACTGATCCGTGGAAGTACACGAGTTTAATAGTAACTGCAGATGAACAGAACACAGGTGCAACACACGAAAACACGGGTGGGGGTGAAGGGGTACAGGGACTATGATCACAGCAACCCGACTGACTCCCTTGGTGCCCTGAGGTGACGAATCCCTTGACTCACGTCACCAGGAACTGCATGGTGAGTAAGCCACCAACTCTGTAAGACACGTAGCGGCGCCCACTGAGCACAGAGTAGGGGCAGGGCCCTGTCACGGAGTTAATACTCGGGGAGCCTGGGCGCGGAGTGTTATGATCAGCACGATGACCCTGGGAGGGGGACCGCTCCAGGACACATCCGATTCCCTGACACTATGAAGAAACCGGCCCGCCCAGGTAACCGGCCCAGGACACCTTGGTCTTTTGATCCACAGCAGCACTACACACCCCTGCACCCCACAGCCGGCTTCATTCTGCCTAAGCCCCTCCCTGCAAACGGGTTTCGGAGAGAGGGAGCCCATGCAGAGACAGGGTCTGAGGCAGGAGTGGCCGGAGGAGCCGTGTGCCCGCGGGTCCCTCCTAGGCATCGCTGAGGTTGCTGTTGCTCAGGAGCACCTGCTCCCCGGGCTTGAAGGCTGGCATCCCGAGGTAGGGGCAGCTGGCGCAGCGGAAAGCGTCGCCCAGATAACACTGTGGACATAATAGTATATACAGTGATATATTGTAATATACTGGAGAGACCATCATAAAGGGAGCTTATGCCAGGAATAGGGGCTAGGACGGGATCCCTAATTTCATGTTATGGCCTCAGCGGCTGAAGGAAATGGCTGGGTGCATCTGTAGGTCCCCTGGGGGCCCAGACAAAAGAGTTTTAAAGATCTCTGGTCCTATGAGAACAATGGCCTAGAGAAGCTCCTTAGGCCATATTTCTATATTTTCAGCATTCAAGTACCAGCTGAGCTCAGCCGAACGGATGAATAACCTCAGGTTCACCAGGAAGCAGGAAGGGACAAAAATAAGAAACAAGAGCCCCCGTCTGGGCATGAGCATGCTGACCCTCTTAAGAGATAACTGTGCTGCCCCATGAAGACCTACATACATGTTCTCACGTGTTCACCGATTACTGAAATATTGGGCAGGAAGTTCCCTACAGCGGGAGCTAGCCTGGGTGGCGTTCAGGATGACGCCCGAGACCGCTAAGGATTTGGGGAATACTAAGCAACAATACTTACATTTCCACAAGCCGACTTGGGTTGGGAGCTCGTCTGTTCCCGGGAATTCTCTTTTTCCAGTTCTTCGGCAAGGCCACACGTGCTGGGGAATCAGCGGCTGATGAGTGAGACTGGCCACCACCCAGAAACTCCAAATCCTGGCAGTACCAAATGTACGCAGACTTTCCTCTTCATTCCTTCCCACTGACTTCCCAGGAGTTGCTCTGCGAGATTCTCAAAGAAGCCAGAGCAGAGGGCCCTGTCGATCTTTCTTCCCTGGGAGCCTTCTGAGATATGGAATATCCATCCTTCCTTGTCTACTCAGGTTGGGGCTTACTCTTCAGTCCTTCACAAATAATATATTGTCTGGAGATTCACATGTAGGTGGTTAAACTATCCACCTACATGTGAAAACTGGTTGAGCATCAACTTATGAATCAGTTTGATTCCCAGTCAGGGCACATGCGTGGGCTGTGGGCTCGGCCCCCAGTAGGGAGCGTGCAGGAGGCAGCTGATCAATGATTCTCTCTCATCATTGATGTTTCTATCTCTCTTCCTCTCCCTCTCTCTCTGAAATAAGCATGCAGAGGTGGCTGCTAAGGTACCAGTAATATCTCTGGTTCTTAACCTGGTGAGGCGTACCTGGGTGTTCGTTTTATTGTTCTTTAGAATGTACCTGCAGGAAGACTCTGCTGTAATTACACAGAGCACTGTGACCGCAGGGACGAGAAGCCTGGAAGCACCTGGAATCTGCTGCGGGCAGCACTCACCAGTTCTTGCAGGCCTTCCTCTTCTTCCCTTCTCCGCAGGAAGGGGCCCGCAGGGAAGCTGGGTCTGGCTTCTTCAAATCCTCTGGATCCAGCAGCTCATCTGAGTCAATGAGATCCTGGGGAGTGTTGGAAGCAGTTAGTGACACGGCCATACTCTCTGCTAAGGAGAGGTGGAGGTGGCCACAGGCGGAGGCAGCAGGTTTACCGCCTGTGTAAGAAGGCGCCCGCCATCCTCCTTCCGGTTGATGCTCACATCAGGGCTGAGCACCACAGAAGATGCACTAGGCTGTGAGGGGACTGGGAACCGATTTACACTGGGAACAGCTGATAGCTGGTAAATGAAAAATACTTCAATAAACACTGCCTTTATAATTATTCAAGTGTGTGGATACATTTCTGGGTCACCCTGTATGTATAAGAAGGCCTGTCAGGTGAAAAGGGGAATAAAATATTTTCTCTAGAATTCCAGAGAAAAGGGCCAATATGATACATATGTTGTGTAATTCTTTGATAAACGTGTGGACAGGTAACCTGTAAGTTCTACGAGGGCACGAGCCATAATCTACTTTGCTTGCCACTATAACTTCGATAGTTGGAGAAGTGAACAACTTTGTTGTGGAAGCACCGATCAAAGATGGAGTATTGCTTTGAAGACAGTGAGTGTCAGTGACTTGGCCAAAGGAGCCAATACAAACATTTCAGCTGACAATTCTTTTCAAGTTTGCACATGCCCACGAGCGTCTTTAATGTATCGCCTGAAGTAAGAACAAGAAAATCTGTGGGGGAAAGATGCTGAAAAGAAATGTCAAAGGCCACTAATGGGGAGGTTCCTCCTAATTGAGAAATGCCCGTGATAGGCACAGCCTCAATGCTGGGCTTTAAACACCTTCACACCCACGAGTCCAGAGAGGCCACTCCAAACCAGAAACACTCATCCCCAACGTGGGGCCTAAAGGAAACCTATCAACAGGTGCCGACTCACCATGCCCTCATCCTCCATGTCATTGGCCGAGAGGGTCCAGAGTTTGGCAGCTGCAGGGTCCACAGCAGGCTTCACTGAGTCCAACCAAAAAAAGAAAAAGAGCTCTATTAAGAAGCCTAAACAAACTACAAGCAAACCTAAGTGCTTTCTATTGAGACTGTGCAGAGAACATACTGGACTGAGAGTCAAAAGACACGGGTTCAAGGCCCAGCTCTACCACTTACAAAAGGCAGGACCTTGGGCCGATGGATCACTGTGATAGTCACAGAAGCCATCCTTTTTAAAAAAATTGTTCTGTACCAGACATTATATGAAGCATTTCACATACATCATCTCATTTAATCCTGCTAACAACCTTAGGAGGGAAGCCTCTGTCATCCTAATTGCATAGCTAGAAAGCAGGTTTGGACACTTAGGCCACAAAGCCACACATGCCATTCTGTCTAATGCTTTCACTTCCACTCTACATTGCTTTCTCCTCTTTCTCTTAGTTTCCACTCTCAGAACACGGACTAATGGTACTCCGTACACCTACTGCAGGTGATTGAAGATGAATGAGAATGTGACAAAAAGCATGATGAACACACAGCTTCAGCCTCACATAAACCTATTACACACAAGACAACAAGCTCTGGAGCTGATGCTGGCAGGGTAACAAATCGGTGGGAAAACCTCACACTTCCTGAGTTCCTCTACAGGACAGGAGAGCCCAAGAAGGACCAGAAAAGGGCTGAGATCCCAATTCAGTGTGAGGCCTGTCCTCAAATGGGCCTGGGGGTAAGAGCACCCCCTAGTGATCACTGCCACAACTGCATGCTCGGACCTTCCACTGGGCAAACTGCTCATCTGAGCTGTTCCCACCATACGGGACTATGAACCCAAAGGTTAGGATTCCCAAGGGTTTCTTGAAGGTGTAAGCTGGACAGTCAACACAGAGCTGTGTGACCGGACGTATACACCTTTGCACACCTCAGAGCTGGGACAATTTTCTCAACCTGGGCGTTAAAAAACAGCAATAGGAAATGCAAAGCAGGGTGGGGAGTGTAATTTTCTGAGCAGAAGAAATGTTTTTACAAGTATCTTAGGATCCTCAAAGGAAGAAAAGCTAACTCTATTGGCACAAAGGCAGAGGACACATGGGAAGAGGAACAGGGCACTCCTATCTATCATGACACCACCATGAGGTCTCCTGAGGATAAATATCAAAATTCTGGGGCCTGGAGAGACTTCAATAACTAAGCTCTGTGACTCAGGCCTCTAAAATCCGGAGGCCTCGCCCAGCCGGTGTGTCTCAGTGGCTGAGCATTGACCCATGAACCAGGAGGTCATGGTTTGATTCCCCGTCAGGGCACATGCCCAGGTTGTGGGCTCCATCCCCAGTAGCGGGAGTGCAGGAGGCAGCTGATTGATGATTCTCTCTCATCACTGATATTTCTCTCTCTCTCTTCCTCTCTCTGAAATTAATAAAAACAACAACATAATAAAATCTGGAGGCCTCAGTGGCCTCCAGTGCAGAAGGGCTGAACTAGATAATATCTATGCGTTAGTTCTGTTTCGATCTGAAAATGCCTAAGATAATAGTACAATAAGCATTCTTCCATTTTTAGAGGATTAGTCCTTCCTTAATTTCTTCCATTTGGAAATGACAGAAATTAAGGAAGGATTAATCCTCTAAAGATCTATCACGTCATTCAGATCTCTGGCTCAATTCCTAATGTGTCCTTCAGGCCTATTCAGACAAGAACGTCCAGTCTTACCCGAAGGAGAAGACTTCTTGGCAGTAGAAAGCTTAAGTTGACTAGAAGAACCCACTTCAAAGTTGGGTTTTTTGCCTGTGATTTGCACAGAGACCAAACTGTCGCTATGGTAACCCAGATGTTCTTGGACAGACTGTATCTCCTCAGGGCTCAAGGACTCCCGATGCAGCTGGAATTCAAGACATCAAAAGGATCAGGCCACACTCCTTCTACAAAATGATGTTCCAAGCCCACCTATATGGGTATCAAATCCTAATTTCTGTGTTTAAAGTCAGCGGTCACCAACCTTTTGGACCTCATGGACCACTAGTGGTCCACAGGTTGGAACCGCTGCTCCAAAGGTTTCCTTAAACCAGCGGTCACCAACCTTTCGGACCTCACGGACCACCGGTTGGCGACCGCTGTTTTACGTAGTACACAGGATAACAGCGGGAGTAACGGACATCACCTCATGGTCACATCAGCTTCTCACTGATCATAACCCTAGAGTGTAACTTTTGTCTACATTTTTACTTTGGGCCTATTTTACTTGGAGTTTTAAAACTTTCCAAAGTTTTAAAACATTATCAAATATCTGTCTATTAGGCATAAGGCACTGTGCAATTCATTGTGAGGGTTGGGTGAGTATTGTGAAGATGAATCAGACATGGCCCTGTTGAATAGGATCTAAGCCTGTAGCGGGGAAGCAGACCCACCATAAAGACAGTAAAATTTAGATCCTGAGAGGAAAAGAACCACAGGGGGAGGGAAATGCTTTCTATGTGCCTTGGGAAGTAGCAGCAGACAGTAAAAGTAAAAAAATGGGTGGGGGTGCTGTGTCATTAAAACAGTAATAACCTTGTGTCTAACAATTATAGAATGGTTAAACGAACCACAGCCCACCTGTAGCACTGACTACTGTTACATCATGAAGACGAACAAGGGATGATACACTGAGACGGGTAAATGTCCAAAAAGCTAGTGACTTAACAATGTATACATATGACCTTACTGACATTAAGTAATGACATATGTATATACGTGTGTGTGTGTGTGTGTGTGTGTAGCTGCAAATACATAATAAACGGTTTCCTCTGGGGAGAGACGTGTGAGCAAGGACTGGGATGTCATCACTTCATATTCAATATTCTTTAGCATTAACTGAATTTTTGTGAGCATTCCTTATTTTAGAATAAAAAACGGAAAAACTTAAACTAAAAAGAAAAATAAAGAGTGGGCATGAATAAATTAAGGTCTTCAGTCATGTAGCAAATCAGTGGTATAATGGCTCTCACTTTATTATTCTACCTCACACCTAAGGAAATTTCAACATCAGAGAAGAATGTAGAAATATAAATACCTCTATTTAATTAAAATATTTCTACTGAACTGTCAAAAATGGGGTTTCCCCTCCAACCTCTACCAGCCGCCCACCAAATATCCGAGGATGATCTAGGTGACTGCCCTTCCCTGGGGCCTAGGACTGGCGTCCACTAAGAGATCTGTGCTCCGCTCTGTGGCCTCAGCAGGCAGCACCACTAACCAGCACTGAGACCAGAATATGCCCCCCCCCCCCCCTGGGCCCCAGCCGAGCCTCTTCGGGGGGACTATCCAGAGGTTTTGTCCCTGGAGGCTTCATGGATCTCACATGCAAAGCACTTCCCAGCTTAGTTCCTAGTCTAAGCGAACTGACCACCTCCCCTTCAGGGCTGTTATTTCCCCGGTTCTCTCTGTATTGTCTACGAAGAGGTACGTACTAGGTTAGTGACCCAGGGTTAGGTTCCTGGCAAAGAAGGCTGTCCACCAACATACCTCTTTCACTTCCACAAGACCAGACAGAGTCAGGGCCGAACACAGCTTAGACGCCGTCTTCACTTTGCTATCGTTAACTGCCAAGAGGAAAACCCCAATCAGCAGCTTTATAGGTCAAAGCAGGAAAAATAATAAAGGCTCTATCCTGTTTGGGTCATCAGGCATTAGAACAATAATAAGCTTTTCTGTTTAATGTACATACATTTTGGTGATATTTTAATTTGACTTGGTTATTCAAAATTCTCTTACCAGTACTCTTAAGTTTCAGATAGTAATTCCATTATTGTTTCTTACAGCCCTCTGCTTCTTGGAAATACCAAACCTTCCAGGGTTGTTAGATAATGATTAGAAAGAGGCTTAGAAACTCTAACGTAACAAGTATCGTGTTATCTTTTTATACTTCTGACGAAAGACACTGTGTTTAGTCACCCAACATTTACATTCCCAGCAACGTTTTTATATCCCCACATAAACATCTTCATACACTTCAAAATATTTTCATTTCTATTGGTGAAATAAGTCATCACATTTTGATGCAAAGTCTGGTTAACAAATGTTAAAATTCAGAATTGAGTAACTCGTTGACACTTTACCACTTGAACAAAAAAGAGAGGTTTTTATTTCCTGAATTCCATCATAGTTTCCCATGAATCAATAATTACCTCATCACTCCCACATTTCCAGTCACTATATTTCAACTACAACTATGGATGTACAGGATGTTTAAAAAGTTCAGAGATGTTTCGAGAACCCATCAACCTCACTTCCCCCATGGTAACATCTTACACGATTCTAATACAATATGAAGACCAGGAAGCCGACATTGATAGTCCACAGAGCTTATCCAAATTTCACCAGCTTTACATGCACGTGTGTGTGCATATGTGTGTGTGGTTCTAGGCAATCTTAGCACACGTGTAGCTTAGTGTAACCAATTACCACAATCAAGATATAGAGTGTTCTCTGACCATAGGAGCCCCCGTACTAGCCCTTTACAGCCTCACACACCACCTCCCAGGCAGCCACCAATTTGTTTCCCATCACCTGTAACTTTGTATTTCAGGAATGTTGTATGAGCGAAATCAGACAGCATGTGACCTTTTGAGACTGGCTTTTTCACTCAGCATGATTCCCTTGGGATTCATCCAAGGGGTTTCACATATGAAGTTTGTTCCCTTTTACTGCTGCATGGTTTCCCATGGTATAGACATAGCAAAGGTTAACCGTTCGCTCACCTGCTGAAGGACCCAGCCATGTTCAGATAGGCAGTTTCCTTCTATTTTACTACCTACTGGGTCAGAGATCACACATTTCTTCAGATGTGTAGCTTCAGATTTTTTACAATAATGTATATCTAATGATAAGATCAGCTGTAATATTGATCTCCAAATGGTATCTCCTGCTCAGAGAGATGCAGCAAGCATAGGCACAGATGCAACCCTGTGAAAGTCCCGTCTTTCAGATGAAGGCTTCCTTACCTACAGCTGTCTCCACTGGCTCTTTCAGAAACAGACTTCCCCCAGGCCGAAGGATCCGGGCCATCTCAGCCAGAACCTCAGCACTGTGCAGAGTGCAGCTTCCAGGAATTGCACCCGCTAGAATAACGTCAAAGCTAGATTCTTTGTGTGCAGCTGAAAAGAAGGAAGACGGTGTCAGCAAACACCCGGACGCCAGGAGCTGTCTCCCAAGCCCTCCGAGCCCCCACCAAGGCCACGCCTGGCCCTGTAGAATGCACACCCACCCGTTCAGCAAATGCGATTAGATCACTGTTACTAGTAAGGGGGTAAGGATACTGCTGCCCTGCTCTCCCTCAGTCTTACTACTTTCATATCCTCTGATATGCTCGTGGGAAGAAGTCAAAGAGGAAGCTAAAGAGTGAGTGGCTTTAAAAGAAAAAGTGGCGTAGCTAAGAAAGAAACAAGAACATGCTATACAAATCAACCACACTCCTGAGTCCACTGTGTCTCAACTGAAAACAGCAGGGTGACAGGCCACTGCCATCATGTGCCACCCAAACAAAAACTCGGTTATCTTATCAGAAGTGCAGCACTCCCGTTGAAAGCTCCCCACTTCCCCCCACCCCGACCCTGTAAAGACAACCTGGGTAGGTACTTACATTGCAACAGCTGGTTGATGTTTTCCACAGACACTCGGCCCTCACTGCCGGTTAACGCCTGCAGCTTTTCCACCAGGTCTTTCAGAGCCTCCAGCGGGGAGGGCTTATCCCAGACCACCGCCACGGACTGGCCAGCCGAGACCCCAAAGTCTGCCATCCCTGCTGTGCTGCACACCTAAAACCACCGGGCAAAGGGGAGTCAGGACTGAGCAGAGACGAAAGTGCAATTTCACCCACGAGGCACCATCAAATTGATTAGAATCACAACCTAATTCTGACCGGGAATGCGGACCATGTTAGAGCATCTTCCTGTCAATACCAGTGTGAATAAACGAACGAGCCCATTATCCCAAGGTTTCATAACCCCAACATACCCCAAAAGCAGGTGGCTTCCTCAGAGCACCCTGACTTGGCAGTCAAGTAAAGAGCTTGAAGGCAGAAAGTTATTTCCTCTCTGATATGCGACAGCTCAGCTTGACCAGAATATATAACAGGCAGGACACTAATTAGGCAGAAGTATGACTCAGCAAGAAAGGCAAATAAATTGGCAGACACCCCAACCACAAGCTTAATGTGTGTGTGTTTTTAAAGAGACAAGTTATTAGGGTTGGCAAGTTGAATATTTTCCCTTTCAGCAAAATATGATCAATGTATCAGTGATCAATAGTATCTACTATGTCTTTGTTTAACATTTAGTATAGCCAGGGTGTTTAAAAACACATTACATACATTATCTCAATTGAATCTCAGAAACACCTTAACCTAGGCATTATTCCCATTTGACAGCCAGGAAACTGAGGCCTCTGACTTTGCCCAGGTCACACACTAGTAAGTGTTGTGTGGATATAGTAAGAGCTGGGGTTTGAATCCAAGTCCATATGACTGTAAAGCCAGGTCTTTCATCCTATGGAAATTTCCCCGCATGGGTCAACTTTCTCTTCCACTTGATACTCAGGCGAGTATAGAATGAAATCGGGTCAGGAGATAGCACAGTACTCAGTTCCTCCTTTCTTTCTTAAATATTAATGCCACAAACAAAAGAGGCTCATCTCAAGATAAATGGACAGAACTCAGGAAAAAACAAAAAAAACAACAACAACCCGCAGAGCAGTCCTTTATGGAACTGGAGAGATGGGTGTGAAATTTTAACATTTGGGGGGTTTTGGCTTAGGAGGGCTTCGCCCACACTCGTGCAGGGGAGACCAAAGTGATATGCAAAGACTCAGGTTGGCAAGACATGTGCAAAGCAGACACAAAGACCAGGCAGGGTCTGACTGCAAACACAAACTTGACAGAATGACTTGCTCAGCTCCTGGCACCCCTACTCCTCCACCGATCGTCCTCCTAAGGCGAAGCTTCTCTGACAACAGAAACCCCGGCACGGCTCTGCCAGGACAGTGGTTTGAGGGCAGTCCGTGACCTTCCGGGGTCACCCAGGGCTTGGCACTCCGTGTCTGAATGAACGCCACCAGCCTTTCCCAAAGCTGCAGATCCTACAAATCACCCAGGGCTGGTGTTAAAACCGGGCTCTTGGACGAGACCTGCATGCAATGAATGCATCAACCCTCCAGGAGAAAGGCCTGGGCATCCAACGGACCCGCAAGCATCCCCTGTGGTTCTTCCCATCTGGCAAGTTTGGGAAATAGCTGATTAGAACCAACTCATCACCTCGGAGCAGTGGTTCTCAACCTTCCTAACGCTGCGACCCTTTAATACAGTTCCTCATGTTGTGGTGACCCCCAACCATAACATTACTTTCGTTGCTACTTCATCACTGTAATGTTGCTACTATTATGAATCGTCATGTAAATATCTGGTATGCAGGATGTATTTTCATGGTGACAAATTGAACATAATGAAAGCATAGTGATGAGTCACAAAAAGAATATGTAATTATATATGTGTTTTCCGATGGTCTTAGGCGACCCCTGTGAAAGGGTCGTTCGACCCCCAGGTTGAGAATCGCTGCCTTAGAGGTTCAGGAAAACCACTGGCTCAAAAGTACAACCTGGAGGTTCCCCCAACGACCGAAACGAAACGCCTTCCGTTCGAGACGTGGGACTGAGGCCCAAGGTCACAACAGCTGGCTACGGGCAGAAGGGGGTCTCCCACCCCGGCCTCCGGGACCCCAGCCCCGGCGCTTCCTCCCGACCGCTGTCCCTGGGGCCTCGGCCGAGGCGGGCGGTCCAGGAAGAACCAGGGCCACAGCACCAGGAGCCCGCGGCCGAGCGGTCCGGCCCCTCACGCCGGATTCTCAGGGCAAAAGCCCGCCATGGTCCTCGGGGAGGTGGCCAAGGCTAGTTCCCACCAAGTGACACCACTGGGACGAGGACACGGGAGGGTCTGAGGACGAGGATGGGCCAGGAAGGGACGACCAGGGGAGGTCGTGTTCTTGGCGCCACCGAACCAGCGCTTACCTGGTACCCG